TCAGATAGCTTATTAATGCATATATTTTTACAATAAAAAAATTGAAAGCTATCATTTTTAGTCAGTGTAACTCGCAGATCCTACTGAGTACAGAGTATTTTAGTATACTTAAACGATGTCCTCGGAAACACGCATGCTTACGTGTACGCTAAGCACCCTGCCCTCCGTTTAGTACTCAAATATCAATGCATTACGAAAAAGTAAATAATACTAAAACGATACCCGCCTTCGGATAATGTATTTGCCTTGTACAAATCCCCCATATGTAAAATGGGAAACACATGCATTTATTGATGTCAACTACACAATCTTGTTTTAACCAATTAAAGCCACCTTCGCTGCGCTCGGCAGCCAGTAGAACTATTTAAATTTTTTTATCCAATGATTTGTCCGGAAAAGCGTGACAGGCACGACAATTTAGTGTGACGGACAGACAGGTTGCTGCAATAGATGTTTAAGACTAGCGCTCTGGGCGCCCGCTCCGCGGACGCTAGGGCATGGTTGGTTGGTGTAGAGAGGGCCGACCACCTCCGCTGCGCTGCGGTGGGCTTAGAATTTCTACTCGAAGCGAAGCAACATATAGTACATGTATACTGTGATCTACGTATATTATGCTCCAAAACAGCACCGCACACAGTATCCGTAGTGCTCACATGTTATTGTAGACATGACCAGGGTTTAACGTGATCTGCAAGAAGAGCACCGTCTTATCCTGGAAGCTTTTGTCTATAATCTCGTTTGAGCGCATGCTCCCAAAATGACACGAATCGGAGGCGCGCGTGGTTGCAAAGCTAATATATACTGTACGGAAGACGGGTCAGTATCAATGATGCTACGAAATATACGTTGATCGGTGAGGAATCCCAGTGTAGCTAGAGTAAGTACGCCTACTCAAACGTATTTTACCCATCTGCACGTCATCGCCGTGAGGCAGTCGACACATATCACCGATTGCGACGGTCGAATAGAGCAATGTTAATCAGCTCCGCGCGCGAAGTATCTTTTAGGATAGGTAGTATATGCCGATGGTCGCCACAAACATCAATATTATGCTTTGAAATTATTCTGCTGAGCTGTTTGTGATGTAACTGAAGGGTATTTCCACTATCTTCCGCATGCATTTATCTTACTTGCATAGCTGACGTACTTTCTGACTTATTTGTATAGCTTCTGACTGACAGAGTGGCGTAAATCCTTTCCGACTGACATTATACTGGGTCCGATATGTACGACAAAAGGCCTCGTCCACATCGGACGAAGAGGCACCACTGCGTGCACATTCTTTTGACCGGCTGCAACATACGAAGATATATGGCTGTAGGCAGAGTATCAGATCGTAGTGATGGTTAGACTTGAATTGAATAATAGTTCATGTACATTAGATGGAGTACTTTCGCTGCCTACTTATCAGCTCGGCGTGCTATTTGATGTGTCCGTGCATATCCCACAATGCCGCCAATGGGTGTTGTCGTGATAGCCAACACCCATGCACTGGGTTACTGCTGCGATCTCGGTACTTTTGTATCGTCGTGCTAGCCTACTGTACCTAGGATTATGATGTATCCGTCTATATGATCCAGCACGTCACTATTCGGGCACAGGTCATACCCGCGGTGATACAGCAAGCTGATCAGGCGTCTGA